ATAATAACCCTACTGTACACTTTTGCTGGTATACTCAGTACACTTATTCCTCTATAATTTTTACAATCTCTTTTGTCCCCCTTCCCTTTATATAAAGCAACTACGTATATATGCTCTCTGCCAATCCCTAGGTACCTTCCCCTCTTCCATACATTTATTAAACAAAAATACCAACCACTCCAACACAATATCTCCCCATGCTTGTAACATTTCTGTCATGATCCCATCAGTTCCAGCTGCTTTACCCCCTTTCATTCCACGTAATGCCTCATGCACCTACCCGACACTCGCATCCTGCTGCTCTTCACTCCTAAAGGATGCTATACCTCCATGGCCAGTGCATGAAATGACCGCCTCCCTTTCTTTGTCGACATTTAAAAGTTCCTCAAAATATTCCCTCCATCTACACAATACCTCCAGCTCTCCCCCACTAACTCCCCTACTGTTTTTAACTTACAAATTCATTCGTTCCCTAGGCTTTAACTTGTTTATCTCACTCCAAATTATTTTCTTCTTTTCATTAAAACTTCTTGACAGTGCCTCTCCCACTCTATCATCTGCTCTCCTTTTACACTCTCTCACCACTCTCTTCACCATTCTTCTACTCTCCATATACTCTGCTCTTCTTATAACACTTCTGCTTTGTAAAAACCTCTCATAAGCTAACTTTTTATCTTTTATCACACCCTTTCCTGCATCATTTCACCCATCATTCCTCTTTCGTCCCGCACCCACCCTCCTATAGCCACAAACTTCTGCCCCACATTCTAATACTGCATTTTTAAAACTATTCCAACCCTCTTCAACCCCCTCACTACTCATACTTGCACTAGCCCACCTTTCTGCCAATAGTTGCTTATATCTCACCCTAACTTTTTCCTCTCATAGTTTATAAACTTTCACCTCTCTTACCTGTTGTTTCCATTTTCCTTTCGTCCCATCTACCTCTTACTCTAACTGTAGCTACAACTAAATAATGATCCAATATATTAGTTCTCCCTCTATAAACATAAATATCCTGAAGCCTACCCACCAACTTCTTATCCACCAATACATAATCTAACAAACTACTTTCATTACGTTCTATATCATACCTTGTAGACTTATTTATCCTCTTTTTCATAAAATATGTATTACTTATTACCAAACCTCTTTCTACACATAGTTCAATTAAAGGCTCCCCATTTTCATTTACCCCTGGCACCCCAAATTCACCTACTACTCCCTCCACAACATTTTTACCCACTTCAGCATTGAAATCCCCAACTAAAAGTACTCTCACACTTGGTTCATAACTCCCCATGTACTCACTCAACATTTCCCAAAATCTCTCTCCTTCACACTTCTCTCTTCTCCAGGTGCATAAATGCTTACTATAACCCACTTTTCACATCAACCCTTATTTTACTCCACATAATCCTTGAATTAATACATTTATATGCCCTCTTTTCCTGCCATAACTTATCTTTCATCATTATGGCTACTCCTGACCTAATCCCATTTATTTCACCCCACTGAAACTCTCCCACCCCCTTCAGCTTTATTTCACTTAAAGCCAGGACATCCAGCTTCTTCTCATTCATAACATCCACAATCACCTCTTTCTTATCATTCGCACAACTTGAGCACAGATCCAATTCCCTAGATCAAGAGCCAGAGCCCCTCACCAGCATCATGGAACCTCCGTTGAGGCCCTCTCACATCTTGAAATTTCATTCGTATCCAAAAGCAAAAAATCGACCAAGAGATTGCTTGTACCCTGAAAAACTAGCATGGTGCGGCACTCGTAAGTCGAAGTTCCACTGTAGTATGCTCCTTACATAGTGACAAATTCATTTATGACGTGGTCTTAGGAACAGAACTCTGTCGTTAAGTGAGGAGTGGCTGTACTGAGAATTCAGAGTGTAGAGCTTAAAGACAATGTGGATAAGTCACAGTAAAATCATAATTCAGAGAGTTGAGGTGATCTGGACATACAGAGAGGATGGAGAGGGATAGGTTGACAAATATGTATAAATCCAGGTTGGAAGGTAACAGTGATAAGGGTAATGCTAGAAATGTTGAGGAGTGAGAGAGATTCTCATGTGTGTGTTTTAGACTGAAACGAGCCGAGGCAAATAATTTTTGTAACCTTACGTGCTGTTGAAGTGTGAGAAAGGATTCAGGGTACACCAGTTAGCTTGACTTGAGTCCTGAGGTGTTAGATACATGATCATGCCTACACTCTAGAGAGAGGGATACAGGTGATGCAGTTCAGAGGGCATCTGAATTGTGATGTCGGCATTCTTTTGGTAAAAAAAAAAAAGAGTTGAATGAATGATAATGAACGTTTTTCCTCTTTTGAGGATGGGGGGACCTTAATACAGTGGGAACCCATTGGTGAGTTAGAGAAAAAACTATCATACAATTAAAAAAATTCATTATACACAAAAGTATAAATCTGAGATTACTTCTAGTATAAATATATTACATTCACTGTTAACTTTGTGAAAGTTGGTGGCTACATATTTCTACACTGCATAAAATAAATTGCTTTGTAATCCTTTAAGAAACTTCACACATTCAAAACAAGAAGACTCGTGCAGACAAATATGTCAAATTTTTAATTAAATATTTACATACAAGACAAGTTTTATCAAATAAGTATCCATAGTTTCATTATAGGTTATATCCATGCTTACATATATACATCTTCACATGTGAGCACACATGCATGTGCACACACAACTGAAAATTAATTACCTAATGCAAAGAACTCCATAAGTTACATTACATGAAATGATGCTACTTAACCCAATAACACTGATGTTAGTACTGCCTTATACATGAGTAATATTTGTACAGCAAATTAATATTATGTGAAAATAAGTGATAGAAACTGGTTAAAAAACAGAAAATAAAAATATAAATTAATATATCATAATTTATCTAATTATTAAATATATTCCCAAGCTCTGAAGAGCAGAAACATTAAGAAAACTAACTATTTACTGTCAAATGGCTACCAATGAAAGGTAACCTAGAAATCTAGCAAATTTTAAATGTTGAAATTAAATTTTACATTTAGTAAATTTATAAATCTCTAATTTGCATGGTTATTTTATTTTTGTCATAAGTAGTCGGTTGGTAAACAGCAACCGCCCAGGAAGGTACTACCATCCTGCCAAGTGAGTGTAAAACAAAAGCTTGTAATTGTTTTACATGATGGGAGGATTGCTGGTGTCCTTTTTTCTGTCTCATAAACATGCAAAATTTCAGGTACGTCTTGCTACTTCTACTTACACTTAGGTCACACTACACATACATGTACAAGCATATATATACACACTCCTCTGGGTTTTCTTCTATTTTCTTTCTAGTTCTTGTTCTTGTTTATTTCCTCTTATCTCCATGGGGAAGTGGAACGGAATTCTTCCTCCGTAAGCCATGCGTGTTGTAAGAGGTGACTAAAATGCCGGGAGCAAAGGGCTAGTAACTCCATCTGTATAAATTACTAAATTTAAGAAGAGGAACTTTCGTTTTTTTCTTTTTGGGCCACCCTGCCTTGGTGGGATACTGCCGGTTTGCTGAAAAAAAAAATGGCAGACGGTATGTGACAGTGTCTGGTACCAAGGAAAAAATATGATTGTTTCACTTGAAAACTCTGTAGTCTTTGGTAGGAACTGTACTCAACTGAAACTTACTACAGTGGTTTACCTAGCACTGATGATCAATAAATTAGAATTGGCCAATACATAAAGACTTTCAGGTTGTGTTATATAAATGATCCTCTGACCTACTTTTTACCACTGATGCCATCATGAGATTTATTTCTTAATTTGACAATCTTCCAATGTCCCTTTCAACGAATTACAACATTTTACAAAGTCGAAGACACTTTTTTTTTTTCAAAAATAAGTTTCAAAAATTTCCCCAGCACCTTAAGAGGCTGAAGTACCATTTATCTTTCTTTCCAAAATTTAGCGAATCAGAATTGGGGGACATCCTCGACACTGGAGCAACTTTGCCATAAAATACAGTATATAGTTATATATATGAGGCCCTCTCCTACTGTGCCTTCACCTAATCTGTTTCTGCCAGTTTGCAATTCATATTTTGTGACTCATTTCTGTCTTTTGCTCTGAAGTGGCCAGCTATCGCACCAGCACAGAAAACATCCCTGTAGGCATATGGAAATGTAATATTCGCCATTTCCAAACACTTCTTTAACAATAAGTAAGAAGGAACAAGAAAATTAAGATGGAGAAATCCTCTTAGTTTAGTCTAAAGAAGAAAACTGTGTAAGAAAGACGAATAAGTGAAATTATAATAGCCACTATGTATACGAGTCTACCCATTTACTCTGGAAGGAATCCATGCCCATTTTCTATGGAAGGAATAAACTATAAACTATCAAATACCATCTTTCCCCAGAAAGTACGCCCTCATCTTATGCCAACTTTCTTTTTCACTAGTTAAAGAAGTTTACTTAATGAAAGAGTTAGGTTACTGTTTAATAATTACCATATTATAGAACTTCCTTTTTCTTTTCAGTAACTGACACAAGAGTGGAGACAAATGGCTTATGAGATTTGACATGCTGTCAGAGCATGAGGAAGATAACATTTATGGAGAAATTCAAGAGAACTGCTAGCCAAACTTGAGTTGGATATGGGAGGTATAGTGAATGTTCTCTGAACAATGGGTGGGAATGGTCAAGTTTAGATAAGCATTTAAAGTGTGATGTCCACACATTTCTTGCAAGAAAGCAACTGAATGAGTGACTGTAAATGTTTTCTTTTCTGGACTACCATAGACTGGTGGACAATGGCCAATAGGGGGGGGGGGGATGTAACTTTTTACACAAGGTTTTGCACATATACATCTTGTGTTAATGTCCTATGTGAAAAAAAAGTACAGTATAATGTATACCCTCACTGTTTCCTTGCCCATTTCTACCTAACTGAAATGAAAATAAAATTGCATAAAAGGAGGTTAAGATACAAAACAACTTGCAACACCTTGCCATCAGGATCAACATTACTCCTCGGAGCCGCTCGGTACCACTCCCCATCTTCACTGAAGCGCGCTAAATACAATCGAGTGAGGTCAATATTTACATCCTCCCCAAGCATCTCTGCTGTTCGATCTGAAAAAGACATTACTTTCTTTACATCATAAAACATTCTATAATGTTAATACTGACTCATATTTATAAAAGTTTTCACCTAATACCAGTCATTACCTGCACTGATATTAACAGTTCTAATCTATAGTAATGTGTATAATGCTACCATACTTATAAACACTACATTATTGTACATTAAACCCCTATGTATTCTTATTTATTTTAGTACCCGATTGGTAGAATGAAGTATGAAAAGGTTTAATGCAGTTAGATATTTGGGACTGGATATGTCAGCAGATGGGTTTATTAAAAGATGATGCAAACTACTGACTAGATGAGAAAAACATTAGATAGAGTGTTAGGGAATCTGTGGAAAGAAGGAACCAAAACTGTTTATGTACACGAGTAAAGTGGCTCCAAAACACTTACATAAGTGTGAGGCATGGTCTTCAACTCTTTAATTGTCATGCCATTGGTCTACACATCCCTGCTACCACAAAAAAAAATAAAATATTTATAGGTGCCAGCAATGTTTTTAGAAGTGCTCAAATGTAAGAAACTCCTTGAAGTAGTGTCAGAAAGTGTGACACTCCACACTGCTCATATACGTATCGTGTCTTTTCGCTGTAGGGGTCACCGTCTTGTGCTGTGGGCACACACAGCACACCTTTTCTGAAAATACTTCTTCTTTTTCTGGGTAGATGGTAGAGTTATGAGGAAGTGACTGTTAGATTGCACTTGGTCAGATGCTTTTTCTTTTGGTCACTCCTGAGGGGCAGGTACAGATCACTCATGGCACTTTCTTACAATCTGCTTTATGATCATTAGGGTAAAGTCAACATATGGAAGTCATTTCCTGGTTTTATCTGGTACATATTGTAGGCAGTGAGCAGTGGAAATGTAAATTCATGTAATAATTGCAACTCCTACACTCACACTCAATGAACACTATTTACATGATACACTCGTTTAAAGGTTACATATGTGTGGTATAGTCGATGATGGCAGCTGGCTTTATAATGAGTTTAATGGTGTCCTTGTTCACCTTGTCTGTTTGTACCATCTTGTTTTTGTGGAAAGTTGACAGTAACATCACATCCCACTTGTCATGCCACAGTAATGTCATGGTGGCAATGGCATGAAACACTTGCACTGCACCATAAGCACTGCCCCAAGTAAATCTTGGCATATGTTTTCTATTTCTTCTCACTGTCCCACACACATCAGTATTTTCACACAGAGGAAATCAGCAACATAGGGCTTGTACAACAGTTGTCTGTGAACAATGTATAGCCCTTCCCAAAGTATGGTTCCATCATCGTCCAAACATAATCATCGGAAATGCCCAACATCTGCTTGGCATCATCCAGTGTGCTCTTCTCAGCACTGACAATGATATCCAACACCAGGTCAGTCTCAAAGTCACACAACAAAAAGTTTTATACCAAAGCAATTATGTTTGCTCGGTATATAAAGATGCTCCTCACTTTACGATGGTTCAGCTTACAATATTTCAACTTAACAATAGTGCAACAGTGATGCAGCATGTAAAGTTACAAAGCAATATATGATTGGAATATGGAAGAAAGTTTTTAAGGCATTTGTGAACCTGTGAACCTGCTTAAAGGCTTTAACAGAAATTCTGCTGTTAATGAAATAACAACATTTTATTGCTTGGAAGACAGCTAAAATTAGAAATGGATGAAGATCTTCATCAGCATGTTGGTACTGAGTCTGAAGAACTTTCAATTATGAGCTGACAGAACTGGAGGAAGCAAAAAATAAGGAAGCAGAGGCAGAGGAAACAGAAGTTATACCCCCCACACCAATTAAGTTCACAACAACAAAAAATTGGAAGAGGCACTTGCTTGTTTCAATAGAGGTTTGCATATGACAGGAAAAATGTTAATTAGTTATGAGAGATTTGCAAAATCTGAAAGACAAATACAGGATGCTCTTGCATGATATAAAGAAGTTTATAATGAAAAGCAACAGCAAACTGTCCAGTCAAGACTTGCTATCTTCCTGAAGAAGCCTGCGCCTGTTCCTGAATCATCAACAAGTGTCGACGATACCATGTCTTCTTCCCCAGCATCGTCTTCCAGAAATTAACCCTTTGACTGTTTCGGTCGTATATATACATCTTACGAGCCACCATTTTTGACGTATATATACTCGTAAATTCTAGCGGCTTCAAATCAAGCAGGAGAAAGCTGGTAGGCCCACATGTGAGAGAATGGGTCTGTGTGGTCAGTGTGCACCATATAAAAAAAGTCCTGCAGCACGAAGTGCATGAGAAAAAAAAACTAACACCGTTTTTTTTTAATTAAAATGCCAACTTCATGGTCTATTTTTGTATAGTATTTATGGTTGTATTCTTGCTTTCTTGGTCTCATTTGATATAATGGAAAACATTTTATAGAAATAGACGTGATTTTGATTGGTTTTACTATGAAAAGAACCTTGAAATGGAGCTCAAAGTAGGGGAAATGTTTGATTTTTGCCAATGTTCAAAAGTAAACAAATGATGTCATTTTCCAATAAATGTCCAAGTAGCCATTGTAATATGCAGTCATGAATGGGTTGACATTATTTATACAATTATTACAATATTGCAGTAGTCTGCATAACAGTAAGTATTCTATTTTTTGTTTGAATAAAAATTCAAAATAGAAAGCAAGAGTAATATCAGAGGGGCCTGGAGACGTGACTGATGAACAAATAAAATGTTATTTTAGAGCCAGGAATGTCTGCATTGTTCATTCTGGACCCTACTTTGAAATACAGTGGACCCCCGGTTAACGATATTTTTTCACTCCAGAAGTATGTTCAGGTGCCAGTACTGACCGAATTTGTTCCCATAAGAAATATTGTGAAGTAGATTAGTCCATTTCAGACCCCCAAACATACACATACAAACGCACTTACTTAAATACACTTACATAATTGGTCGCATTTGGAGGTAATCGTTATGCGGGGGTCCACTGTAGTAATATTTTTTAATTTTCGCTAAATTGCAAAATTGCAAATTTCTCACCACGTTATTGGGTAGTTGAAATCAGTAAATGGGCAGTTTCTCATACTCAATCGATAGAAAAAATGGAGTTCTAAAGAAATAGCTATGAGTTTGGTCGACTGGAACAATGGAATTAGCCAAAAGTAGGGCTCAAAGTGGGCAAAATCGCCGATTCGTAAATATCGCCGTGGTCACAAACTTTGCGAGAGCATAATTCCGTCAGTTTTCCATCAAATTTCGTTCTTTTGGTGTCAATACAATCGGGAAAAGATTCTCTATCATTTCCTAAGAAAAAATAATGGGAGGGGGGGGATTTTTTTGCGACACCAGGAGACACCTCAGGATTTGGGGTTGTGACAGTCAAGGGGATAATGCTATTCTATGCTTCACAACATTCTTCAGGCCCAGTGTGCTTTCAGCTGACTACATTAATGGTGAGTAACTATATAACATCACTACATGTACTGCACCTGTATCATTATTGAGTAATCAAGTCAATGTACTGGAAAACTTTTTTTTTGTACTGTACAGTACTGAACATTTATTGACTGGATAAACTTGTAATCATTTATTTACACAAATAATCCGCATTTAGAAGAGAGGAGTTTACGACTACATTTCGGTCTGACTTGGACCATTTACAAAGTCACACAATGTATAAATTCAAGGATTATATGAAGTAAAATAGAGGTTGGATGTGAAAAGTGGGTTATAATAAGTGTTTATACACCTGAACAAGAGAGAAAAGTAGAGGAGAAAGAGAGATTTGGGGAAATGTTGAGTGAGTGCATGGGGAGTTTTGAACCAAGTGCTCTCTAAAATCTTTGAAAAATTAATTCATAGATGGATCTATTCCTACCTCGTCTCCCACAACATACTAAACCCCTGTCAGTTTGGATTCAGGAATAATAAAAGCACAAATGATGCTATCATACACATGCTAGAACTAATATATACTGCTCTCGAAAAGAAATAAGTCCTACTGGGAATTTTCAATGATTTACGTAAAGCTTTTGATACAGTCAACCATGAACTGTTGTACACTAAATTAACACACTATGGTATAAGAGGCCACTCCCTCAACTACCTAAAGTCATACCTTAGTAACAGAAGCCAATATGTGTACACAAATGGTGCAAACTCTTCCACTCAACCAATTACAGTAGGAGTCCCACAGGGAAGTGTCCTTGGATCACTCCTCTTTCTCATCTACATCAATGACTTACCGAATGCATCGCAGCTACTCAAACCCATATTATTTGCATATAACACTACATACATCTTCTCCCACCCAAACCCAGTCATACTTGCCAACACTGTCAATGCTGAATTGCAGAATATATCTGCCTGGATGATGACTAATAAACTTACCCTGAATACTGACAAAACCTATTTCATTCAGTTTGGAAACAAGGCTGCAAATGTTTCAGTTAACATAACACTAAACGGATCACCCATCTCAAGACTCTCAGAGGAAAAATTCCTAGGAATCCACTTCACAGTAGCCTCAAGTTCCAGACACATATACAACAAATCACCAAGAAAATCTCTAAGACCGTAGGCATATTATCAAAGATACGGTACTATGTTCCACAACCAGCTCTCCTGGCACTGTATCATATACTCTTCTACCCTTATCTCACATATGGAATTTGAGCATGGGAATCAACATTAAATCACTTAAGACCACTAATAACCAAGCAAAAGGCAGCATTCAGAATAACAAATTCCCACTCCTGACAGCATACTCCACTAATTTTCAAAAGTCTAAATCTGCTCACCATTAACCCTTTGAATGTCGCAACCCCAAATCCTGAGGTGTCTCCTGGTGTCGAAAAATTTTTGAGAGAAAAAACAAAAATTTTTTCTTGTGAAATGATAGAGACTATTCCCGATGGTAATGACACCAAAAGAACGAAATTTGATGGAAAACTTATGGAATGACGCTCTCACAAAGTTAGCAACCTTTGTGATATTTATGAACAGACGATTTCGCCCACTTTGA